ACCCACTCCTGTATTCTTGCCTGAAGAAGCCCCATGGGCAGAAAAGCCTGGAGGGCTACAGTCCACGGGGTCACAAAGAGACTAACACTTTCACCTTCAGGGGGGTTTGCTTTCCTCTCACTGCCAGCATGTGAAGGCCCTGCAACTTCAGACCAGGCAGGATGGGAAGTGGCCAGGCATGGGACAAGTGGGGTGCCTGAGGAGCCCATGATGAGACAAGCTATGGAGCTAGCTGTGTGCCGACGGGGCCTCCCTGGAATACAGGCCCACACCCATTCCTGCTGCTCACAACAGCTAGATGGGCTGGTAGGGGCACTTGAGGCTGGAGAAGGGTGGAGCAGGATGTGGGCTGAGGGGCCAGGTAAAATGGTCCAGGGAAGGCTGGGTGGATTAGCCCTGCCATCTGGCAGGCCCAAGGCCTGACTGAGTTCAGTTTATTCACCTGAAGGCAAGCAAGGCACCTGTCCCCTCCACCCATGATCAGGGCTCATAACTCAGACATAATGCATCCTGTGTTGCCATCATCAAGGACAGGCTGTTTTCCAGAGGAGCTGGGCACCAGTCCATGTCTCATAGTTGGGGTGAAGTCTGCTGGGTGAGGCTGGGGAGTGTCTGTTGGCTCAGCCAGTGCACACATCCCAGACCTTCACCCCGCCCTGGAGCAGGCGATGGAGGAGTCACCAGCTCCCTGACCTGAGCCCAGTTCTATCCTTATCGTGTTACTCCCACCGCTTGTGTAGGTGCCCAGGTTTGAGGATTTGGGCTCTGTTCTGCTCCCAGGAATCCCAGGGCTCACTCAAGGTGGTTGCTTGGCATCACAGTGGCCATACACATCTCAACTCACACTTTCCTCCTTGGGGCCCTCACAGCTGCCCTGGGAGTCAGGATGGTGGCAGTACCTATCAGTGGGCCCATTTCTCAGATGGGAACACGTGCAAGCCCAAAGAGAAGAAGTGAGGCACCCAAGTTCACCCAACAAGTTAGTGGCTGGGCTGAGACCCAAGTACAAGCTGGCTCTCCCCTCCGGGCACTCACTTCCTTGTTCACTCCTCTCCTGCCACAGTGCACTCCTTGCACTTCCTGAGTGTGCCAAGCTTATTCCTGCCCCAGGACCTTTGCACTTGCTGCCCCTCCTCTTGACAGGTTCTTCCCCCAGATCGCTACAGGACCCATTCCTTTGTGTTCACACGTCATTATCTCAAAGAGCTGCCTCCTTTCCTTTTGTCACTTTCTCCCCTCACACCATAATTTCTCTTCTATATAACATATCATGTGCTTGTTGTGTATTTCTTTGTTTTCTGTCACTCCATTAATGTAAGCACCTGGAAGGCAGGGACTTTCTCCACCTTATTCACAGCTGAATCCTTGGTGGCTAGAATAGTGCATAAAATATACGAGGCACTTAATACGTATTTGTTCAAGGAATGAACATTCTCAGATCACCTCCTTTCTGGTCCAGAACTTTCTCCTTGTACATCTCTGCACCCCAGAGAAGCCAGAGCAGTGGACAGTGAAGGAGCGGTTGGCTCAGGCTGGAGGGAGGCAGCATTGCCCCATCACCAGAGACACACAAGGCACTCTGAGCCACCCAGGCTGTACCCCCTGGGGTCTGACGTGTGTCAGCAGGCTTTCTAGGGTCCTCACGACCTCCCAGAAGCATGGAGGGACCAGTGGGGATAGCAAATGCCTTCCCTGAAAACTGCCCCCTCTTTCTCAAAACTTGGACCATCTTAGTCCTTGGACCCACTGTCCTCTGCCCCTCTTGGAAGTGCCATTCAGTATTTGCTGGGCATCTACTGTGTGTTGGGCTCAGGATTGGGCATTCAGAGAGCTTTATGAGTAAAAGAGACACTCAAACGCCACCAGAGCATGGAGGGGAAACTGATGGACTAGGGAGGGGCGGTGAGAGTAGGGTATTCAGGGAGGATGGCAATGACCTTGCCTAGGCTGGTGGAGGGCACAGGGAAGTTTCAGAAGAGGGGGTATTTGAGCTGGTTTTATATAATGGGGGTGATAGGAATAGAGAGGGGAGACCCGGCGCTGCTGGGAGAGAGAAGAACCTGTGCAAAGGGTTCAGAAGATCTGAAAAAGTGTGGGTCCAGAGTGGGGCTGGGCAATGGTGAGGCTGAAAAGGTGGGCTGGAATCACATGTCGAAGGGCCTTGAACAGCAGGTGGAGGAGCCAGCTTCATCCTGCTGGCAGTGGGCACTGTTACAGCATTTGGGGCAGGGGTGACTTAGTGTGTGAGATGAGTGCAATGTGGGAGACCTGGGTTCAATCCCTGGGTTGGGTCTTACATGTTAACAAAGTAATGCTCAAAATTCTCCAAGCCATGCTTCAACAGTACTTGAACCGAGAACTTCCAGATGTTCAAGCTGGATTTAGAAAAGGTAGAGGAACCAGAGATCAAATTGCCAACATCCATTGGATCACAGAAAAAGCAAGAGAGTTCCAGAGAAACATCTACTTCTGCTTTATTGATTACACCAAAGCCTTTGACTATAGATCACAACAAACTGTGGAAAATTCTAAATAGATGGGAATACCAGACCACCTGACCTGCCACCTGAGTATTCTGTATACAGGTCAAGAAGCAACAGTTAGAACCCAATATGGAACAATGGACTGATTCCAAACTGGGNATTGAAGGCAGGAGGAGAAGGGGACGACAGAGGATGAGATGGTTGGATGGCATCACTAACTCAATGGACATAGTTTGAGCAAGCTCCGGGTGTTGGTGATGGCAGCCTGGTGTGCTGCAGTCCGTGGGGTCACAAAGAGTCGGACGTGAATGAGCAGCTGAACTGAACTGACTTAGTCCAATTTGCCTTTTAGGAAGCTTGTCCTGCCGCTATGTGCAGTGGTCTGGAGACAGATGAGGAGCCAGAGATATGAGCTGGGAGAACGCTTGAGGTGGCCATAGATAGTCTAGGTGAGAGATGAGGGTGGTCAGAGTGTGGCAGGGGCAGAGAGGGACAGAGTCAAGAGCTGTTTGGGAGGGGACTTCCCTGGCGGTCCACTGCACTAACACTTTTTAGTGCAGGGGATTCGGGTTCAATCCCTGGTCAGGGAACTAAGATCCCACATGCCTCAGAACTAAGCCTGTGAGTCACAACTAGAGAAACCTATGCACTACAATGAAGACCCAGCACAGCCCTGCCTCCAAAAAAATTTTTTTTAATTAAAAAAATTAGAGCTGTTTGGGAAGCAGAATCTATACCGTCAGTGGGAAGGCAAAGAAGGCCACAGGCTTGGCTCCCAGACTCCACAGCTGGGAGGCTGTGGGGTGTGGGATGGGGGGCAGTGGGTGTGGGGTGGGGGGGCAGTCGTTCGCCCCCTGGTTCATTCTGGGCTGATCTCAGTTCAATTCAGTTCAGTCGCTCAGTCATGTCCAACTCTTTGCGACCCCATAAACCACAGCACACCAGGCCTCCCTGTCCATCACCAACTCCCGGAATCCACTCAAACTCATGTTCATTGAGTCGGTGATGCCATCCAACCATCTCATCCTCTGTCGTCCCCTTCTCCTGCCCTCAATCTTTCCCAGCATCAGGGTCTTTAGTTCTGTTTCCTGTGCCTCCAACACTGCTCCAGTCTGTTACATCCTGCCCCATCCACTCACCCATGACCTCCTCTGACTTCCCAGGAGGATAGGTTAGTCTTGCATCCCCTAAAACACTGAGCATGTTTCATTCATGGCACTCACCCCAATGGTGATAATACAGTTCTATTGCTCAGTTAGTACCAATCACTCGCTTAATCACAAGCTGCTTGCAGCCATTCCTGCCACATTCATTAAGGTCTAAGGTCCAAAGCAAGGGAGGTGAGACACTCCTTTGCTCCATTCTGTCCCCTTTTAATTCTAGCCTGGAACACTAGCAGACAGACCTGAGGACCAGGTGAGAAATGCAGAGAGGCCCAGGGGCTTCATCATATGCAAGGGTCGGGAGCAGGCAAGGGACTGGCCCTGCTCAGCCTGGAGGTTCATTTGGGGTGCAGGAGGCTGGAGACAGGGAAGCACTCCTTCTGTGTGACAACGGGCTCTGTTCAAAACCAAATGAAGACAAATACTGTATGATTTCATTTATACGTGGAATCTAAAAAATAGAACAAACTAACAAATATAACAAAACAGAAACAGACTCGCAGATATAGAGAACAAACTAATGGCTATCGGTGGAGAGAGGGAAAGTGGGGGTGGGGACATGATACAGGTAGGGGATGAAGGGGTACAAACTACTTGGATAAAATTGAGGATACAATGAGGATATATTGTATAGCACTTGGATAAAATTGGGGATACAATGAGGATATATTGTATAGCACAGGGAAGATAGCCAACATTTTATAATAACTATAAGTGAAGTATAGACTTTAAAAATTATGAATCACTATGTTGTACACCTGCAACTTATATAACATTCTACATCATCTATACCTCAATAAAAAAATAAATTAAAAAAATCAAACCTTAAAAAAATCCAACAGTGAAACTTCTCCCCATCACTGGAGGATGAATGACTTCTTTGTAGGGCTGCTGTAGGAAGGCCTGAGTGGAAAAGGGGAGAGGATCCAGATGACCTTTAAATTTTTCCTATTTTTACGAGATGACGTTCTTACATTAGAACAGGAAATCGTGGTTAAATATTTGCTCTGCCCAGCTAGTGATGGAAGGACAGCTGCCACCTGTCCCTCCATCTCTGAGACATACCTGAAAAGGGGCAGTAGGAGGTCAAAGCTGAGTTATGGACCTCGGGTTGGGCTTAGTTGCAGATGGAGGCTTCCATCAGTCTGTAGAGGTGACTGTCTGGATGCCTGTGACCCCCAAAGGGGCTATTCTTGAACAAGAGTCCTTCCTATTGGTTCACTCAACTATTCCTTTCATCAGATTGGGTTAATTTTAATATAAATATAATTAATAATATGAGAGTAGCCATTTTAAATTTGTTTCTGAATTTATTTATAGTACTACTATGTTAAGATGAAAATTAAAGACTATGGGCATAATAAATATGTTTGAAGCATCCCAACCATATCAGGCTTACTATGGGGAAATATTTCCTTAACATTAGGATTCCTTCTTGGTATCTTCTCTCGCAGGACTTGTTCTTTCATTGGAGTTACTCGCTTTAATTGAGAATTATAAGACCACACAGGGGGTATCATCATGCTGAGATGAAAATGACTGAAGTTTTTATAGACTTCTTTTGTGTGGTAGGATGATGATGGCAAGCTGTAGCTTAATTTAATAGATAAAACAGTTCTATTTCTTAATCATTTAATTTTTTGCAACCTACCTGTAGGATTGAAACCATTCAAAATAAAAAGGTCTCTAAAAAAGAAACCTAAAACTTTGATTCAGGTTGGGGCTCCACATGCATAGTTTAAAGTTCTCCCCTGGGAAATTTATCTGGAAGATGTAGCTGAAAATCACTGATCTAAATGAATTAGAGGAATGTATATGTAAGTAAAATTTAGTTATTCTTTTTATAAATCAGAAATTCTTTGAAAACAGGTAACCAAATATCTTATATCTTATATCATATATCCTGGCCAACAAATCCCTTTGGTTTTTAAGTAAAAGTAAAAGACACATTGTTCATTTCACCAAGAACTTTATCAAACAACATATTCACCATTTGGTTCCACTAGCTTCTGTCATTTTTTAGGCAACTTCATAATTTCATCTTCCCAAAACTTATCTTTTTGATCAAATAACTGTTCCAGGTGCCTTTTACAATCTTTCAGGAAATTGACTTTTTTTTTTTCCATTAAGAGAATTTTGTAATGACCAAAATAAATAGAAATTCAAAGTTGCAACATCTGGTGAATATGGCAGATGAACCAGAACTTTCCCACCAAGCTGTAACAGTTTTTGCCTGGTCATCAAAGAGACATGCAGTCTTGCGGTACCCTGATGGAAGGTGATGCTTTCCCTCCTGACGAATCCTGGATGCTCTTCACCCAGTGCTGCTTTCAGCTGGTCTAACTGGGAGCAGTGTATGTGCTCAGTCTCTCAGCCGCGTCCAGCTCTTTGTGACCCTAATGACTGTAGCCCACCAGGCTCCTCTGTCCATGGAATTTTCCAGGCAAGAATACTGGAGTGGGGTGCCACTTCCTACTCCAGGGGATCTCCTTGACCCAGGGATTGAACCTGAGTCTCTTGTGTCTTCTGCAGTTGTTGGAATTAATCATTTGGTTATCCGGAAGAAGCTCATTATAGAGGACTCCCTTCCAATCCCACCACATACACAACATCACCTTCTTTGAATGAAGACAGGTCTTTGGTGTGGTTGGTGGTGGTTCATTTCACTTGCTGAATGATCTTTTCCATTCCACATTATTGTACAGTATCCACTTTTCATCACCTGTCACAATTTGTTTTAAACACAGAACGTTTTCCTGATGTTTAAGTAGAGAGCTGCATGGGGAAATACTGTCAAGAAGGTTTTTTCTCTTGACTAACATATGTGGAACCCAAACATCAAAGCAGTTAACATGACCAAGCTGGTGCAAATGATTTTCATCACTTGATTTGGATATTTTGAGTATATTGGCTATCTCCCTTGTGGCACAAGATGACTTCAATTAATGTCTCAATTTGATTGCTATCAATTTCTACCCCTACTGTGAAGGGGTAGATTTCCAGTGAGGAATCTCCAGCATGGAACTTCCCAAACCACTTCTGTTTGATAAGTCACAACACCTTCTCCATACACATTTTTTTTTTGCATTTCAGTTGCATTTTTATCTTTCTTGAAATAATAAGGCAAATAACATGCCAAAAATGTTCCTGTTTTTCTTCCATCTTCAGTATTAAAATGGCTGCACAAAAACTCACCTCTTTTGATGTTACTTTTTTTAATGCAGGCTGATATGACAGCTGTCACAGTACAATCTAACAAAATTGTTTTGAATGAAATTAAAGACAACTAAGCACTACTAAAGCTGACTTTTGACTCAAGATGGTAAAGAATCTGCCTGCAATGCAGGAGACCCAGGTTCAATCCCTGGGTTGGGAAGATCCCTTGGAGAAGGGAATGGCAACCCACTCCAGTATTCTTGCCTGGAGAATTCAAAGGACAGAAAAGCCTGGCAGGTTACAATCCATCTATGCGTCGCAGAGAGTTGAACATGACTGAGCGACTAGCAGTGAAGTGAGTGAAAGCCAGCTTAAGAGAAAACTGGAACAAATGTTTTGGCCAACCCAATATAAGTATGGGGAACTTCTAGGGGGATTCCCTGGTTGTCTAGTGGTTAGAAATGGGCTTTCCAGGTGGCTCAGTGGTAAAGAATCCACCTGCCAATGCAGAAGGCTTTGATCCCTGGTCTGGGAAGATCCCCTGGGGAAGGAAATGCCAACCTACTCCAGTATTCTTGCTTGGGAAATCCCATGGACAGAGGAGGCTGGCAGGCTACAGTCCAAAAGACTTAGAGACATGGACAACAGCAACCAATGTTTTCCCAGTCCCACTGCATTGGGCACTTGGAGTCTTAGCCACTGGACCACTTTGGAAAGTCCCAAAATTGCAGCTTTTTGTTTTCTTTTTGATCTCTCTCTCTTTCAGTATTTCTGAATTAGCCTCTCTCTGTTTTCCCCTCGTTATTTCAATTTTCCTCTCCCTCTTGCTTCAGCCCTCAGACTGAAATCAGCTTTGCAAGTCCAAACTTTTTCTTACTTCCAAAATTCACCATCAATGGCCCAACCCCCGCCCCAGGTCACTTGGAGCTCAGCGTCTCTGCAGAAAACAAACCCTTTCTTGATGCCAGGGTGCAGATATTACCTCCGGGTGACACCTCCAGCTCTCCACCTGGCCTCAGATAAGATAAGGGTGGGGATCGGCACTATAAACAGGCCCCCATCAATCCCTGGCCCAGGCCCCAGCTCCCTCAGGCCACATAGCCCAGGATCAGCATGGCTTCCCGCCTATGGATAGTCGCCCTGGCCTTGGCTGTTCTCTTCCTCGTGGACAGGGGTGAGTAGACAGAGCCTGGATTCTCTGTGGCTTGGTGTTGGTAGGTGAGCTTGGAGTGGGGCAGAGGCAGGGCCTGGAGCATCCTGTGAGGCCTTGACTTTCTACATAAACCTTTCTTTCTTTCTTTCTTTTTTGTTTGTTTAATAAACCTTTTTTCTGCACCCCGGGCTGGAAGAAAAAAAAAACCGGAGCTCCAATCCGACCTCTGGCTCAGAATTGCAAAAGTCCTCTCCCCTCGTGGCTCAGATGGTAAAGAATCCACTTGCAATGTGGGAAACCTGGGTTCCATCCCTAGATTGGGAAGATCTCTTGGAGGAGGGCATGCCAACCCACTCCAGTATTCTTGCCGGGAGAATCCCATGGACAGAAGAGCCTGGAGGGCTACAGCCCATAGGATCGCAAAGAGTTAGACCAGACCGAGCAACTAACACACACACACACCTCCCCTCTTGGGACCTGTTTCTCCAGTTGTGACATAGGAGGTTGTTCCAGCTAAAAGCAACCCTGAGCAGCTACTGGGCTAGAGACTGGGGACACAGAGGGAGACGGCTTGTCTGCAGGGAGATTGACAAGTCTACTGGCTGCAGGGCGCTGGGTGCTGAAGGAAGCCTGGCCGGGTCCTCTGGGCTCCCATCTGCTCTGATAGGCTGTGGTTGTGGGGCTGAGGCAGTCATGTGAGCACAAGGGAGCCCTTGCTCTGGGCTAAACACATGATGCTGGAGTGAGGCCTGCTCAGAAGCTGGGTACCTCTGCAGTCTCACTTCTGCTGGGTATCAGGCCTTGTTCTGGGCCCTTAAAACTTATCAGCAAGCAAAACAGAAAAAGAGCTGCCCCAATAGATCTTAAATTTAATGGAGTAGGAGGGAGGAGAATCAACAGTCAATAAGATAGGTGCAATGTATATTAAACAATATATATTAAACAGTATTTAGATGGTGATAAAGGCTAAGAAAAAAAATATTAGGCAGGGTGATGGGGATTGAGAGGGGGTTGCAATGTGAATGCAGGGGATTTCTCTCTGAGAGGCTGATATCTGAGCAATACTTGAAGGAGGTGGAGGAGTGAGCCATGGATATATCTGAGAGAAGTGGGTTCTGGGCAGAGGCAATGGGCAGTGCAAAGGCCCTGAGGTAGAAGCATGCATGGAGTGTGTGGAATATGGCAAGGAAGCCAGTGAGACTCGAAAGGAGTGAGGGGCAAGGTGCAGAGAGACAGGAGATGAGATGATACAGGCAACTGCGAACTATAATGGATAAAGCCTTGAAGGTCAGTGTAAGAACTTGGATTTTCCTGTGAGTGAAATGGGAAGTACTAAAGGGTGATGAGCAGAGTCACAGGTTAAAAGGATTGCTCAGGTTGCTACCCTGAGAACAGAGTCAAAGGAGAAGCAGCGAGACTCCTTAGGACATACCCAGACAAAGTCATGATGTTACAGGGCGGGTCTGAGCAGGACATCAGGGACACCGACCTCACAGTCGGTCTCACAGGTGTTTCCCTGGCTGGGGACACAAACCAGAGGCTGAAGCAATAGAAAGTGGATCCAGAGACTCTGGCCCAGCACAGCCAGGTTACTCCCAGCCTGGCATCAGTTTCCCGAGCAGTTCTCTTGTTGGGAACACTGAAGAGGCTGCCCTAAAGGGAGTCCTTTGGCCCATTTCAGATTCCTGCCTGGGCTGCGTGAGGAAGGGGGCAGAAACCTTGGGCCAAGGTCGAGGGCAGCTGGGGTTAAATGCAACTTCCCACATCATCCAGAAAGAAACTGACACCCCAGAGGGACCAGCATAAGCCAAGAGAGCCTGTTCTGGAAGAGTGAGCAGAGAGGAATGGCGGGGGCAGAGGGGCAGAGGAGGCGGATGAGGAAGTGGCCCAGGGGAAGTTTGGGATCATCTCACACAGTGCCCTCGACAAAAGATGAAGAGTCTTAGTGGTCATGACATGGAGCCCTGGAAGGGCTTTATTCATTTTTTTAAATGCTTTCATTTTTTTTAAATGAGTTTCTGAGACTCAGCCATGTTGTTGTATGTTATCAGTTATTGCTTTGTTTTTACTTTTGAGTTGAGTCACACTGTATGTGTGTATCAGGGTTTATTCACTCTCCTGTTGGAGGATATTTGGACAATTTCCAGATTGGGTAATCATGACCTGGAGGGTTTTGAGCAGTATAATGACAAGACTGGATTGGCTTGTTGATGCTTGAACAGTGCTCCAGTGGCCAATCTTGGTTCCCTTCTTCCTCTCCACCTTGGAAATCTCTTGTAATAATAGCATCTCCAGAAAAACCTAAAACCAAGGGATGGTCACCCACCTCCAGGGATGGAGAACTCTCCACTTCTGGAGACACTTCTTTTGTTAACGCATAGCTCCCACTGAGAGAACATTCTGGAATCCACACCTGCCTCTTTGCAGCCTCTTTGTGCAGATGGGCTCTGCCTTGTGAAGTTAAGAAGAGTTCCTCTCTCCCTGGGTCCCAGGACAGCCCTTCAGAGACTTCAGAAAGCAGCCTGCCTTTCTTCAGTTTTTATAGACCCTTTCCTTACACCTGTGGCCTCAGATACAGCTCCATTCCATTCCCCCCTCCACCCGTCACACTCACCAGTCACATCACAATCTGCTGAGGTCCTGTAAACAGTTCATCCAGCCCTCAAGGGGCTGTGAGGGACAACTGCATGTGTGGAGTGAGGGAGCCACGTGAAAATCCCAGCCCTGCCCTTAACAAACCGTGTTGCCTTACCTATGAACCTTTTTCACAGATTGGCCGAGTTCTCTGGGAAGCAGGCTCTGGGATCTGTGTGTAGTTTGCTGGAGAGTGCTCGGGGGAAACACCGGGGAGAGGAGACAGTCAGTGACTGTCATGCAGAGGGGCTGCGGCGGTCCTGCAGCATTGCTCTGAGATGAGGAGTTCAGACCACTGTACCCACATCACCCTGACATTGGATGTGGGTTGTTCCTGGGTAGGAATGCCAGCTTGGGCAAGGCAGCTCCGTTCTCCAAGGGTGAAAGAAAGTGAAAGTGAAGTCGCTCAGTCGTGTCTGACTCTTTGCGACCCCGTGGACTGTAGCCTACCAGGATCCTCCGTCCATGGGATTTTCCAGGCAAGAGTACTGGAGTGGGTTGCCATTTCCTTCTCCAGGGTATCCTCCTGACCCAGGAATCGAACCCAGGTTTCCCACATTGTAGGCAGATGCCTTACCATCTGAGCCACATACCCTCCTAGGAAAGCACTCACTGTGAGCAGCCAGTGCTCCTGGAAGCTGAGGAAATGTGTGCCTCAGTCCTGTGGTGGGATCTGGGTCACAGACGTCTGCCTCCTCTCCTCCTGTTACACAGCAGTGAGAAAGTGTGTAAGAAAGTCAGGATCATGTATTATCAAGGCCTGGTACATAGTAACTGAATTATTTTCTTTTTCTTCTTCTTTTCAATATTTGTCCTTTGGTTAATTTATTTTTGGCTGTGCTGGGTTTTCATTGCTGGGCGTGGGTTTTCTCTAGGGAGGCCACTCTTTGTTGTGGTGGGAAGGCTCCTTGTTGCAGTAACTTCTCTAGTTGCAGAGCACAGGCTCTAGGCGCGGGGCTCAGTCGCATCAGCTTGCAGGCTCTAGGGTATACGGGCTTCAGTAGTTATGGTCCTTGGACAATCCCAGTGGGATCTTTACTAATAAGAAACAGACTAGACTTTAATCTCCCTAATTCTAGGCTTTCTCTCCCAGTTCTGACAATGTCATGTGAGCTTTCTGGGAGCCCAGTCTATGACTCACTCACTACCTTTCCCTGAGGAATTCCAGATTGGGTGGTGGCTGAGATAGGTCCCTGAAAAAACTGTCCTCAGACTCTGGTACCTGGGGCCTAAAGCCAACATCCCCTAATTCTTGCTTCTTTGCCTTTCAGAGGTGTCCGTGTCGGCAAAAAAGTTGGTTTTCTGGAGAATGGTAAGGCAGCTGCTCTTTCCAGCCTCAGCACTGCTGTCCCGGCCGTCCTTCTCAGAGGGGAGCCCTTTCATCCATACTGGGAGACAAGGGATTTTCTTCTTTATGCTCCTTCTCAGACACCTTCAATGGTGCCACAGTGGCCAGGGCAGCCTCAGGTTAGCCCTTCCAGGCTGAGCAGGCCCAGCCCCTTTGCCAAAGTCTACACAGCTGATCAGTGCGGAATGCAGCATCGGCCCCCTCACCCCCCACCCCTACCCCGGGCCCCCATCCTAGTCCTAACCCTCGGGGCTGGCCTGGAACCCTTTTAGACAGAGCCTCAGTTAGGCCTCCAGCCTCCTCATACCAAAGGCCTGACAGTCACGCAGGCCAGGTTAAGCTCAGGAGCCTCCAGGGAGGCAGGCCTCCTAGGAATGACGGCTGGTTCTCTTCCTGGGTCCTCAAGAAGAGCAGAATTTGTTAGACCCTGTGAAGGGCGTGTGAGCCCCTGAAGACAGGTGTTCACCTGGCAGGCCACATACTCGGGCTCAGCAGATACAGGTACATTCTTATGCACACAGCCACAGCCACACACGGTCAAGTGCGTGCACACACACACGCGCACTCACACGCACACATGAACACGCACGCACACGCATGCACGCATGCACACACAGAGAGAGACACGCACACACATGCACACACACACAAACACGCACACAGACACGGTCAGGCGCGCACACACGCACGCACACACGCATGCACATGCACGCACACACACACGCACGTGTGCACACGCACACAAGCAACCACATACTTGGGCTCAGCAGATACAGGTACATCCTTATGCACACAGCCAGAGCCACACACGGTCAGGCGCGCGCGCACACACACACACGCACATACACACACATGCACGCACACACGTGCACACACACGTGCACACACGCACACACACACACAAGCAAACGTGCCGTGGGGCCCTGCGTGCTTGGTTCCATGCTCTCTGGACCCACACTGGAGCCTTCTTGAATCTGGCTCCTCCCTGGAGCCCCCTCAGCCCTGTTCCAAGCAGACCCCCTTGGTACCTCCTGCCTCTGGATCCGAGTGTCCCCCTTCCTGTCTCCCACAGCCCATCTGTGAACACATGGTAGAGTCTCCAGCCTGCCCCAAGACATACGACCCGGTCTGTGGCACTGATGGGGTCACGTATGAGAGTGAATGCCAGCTCTGCTTGGCTCGGATGTAAGTCCACCCCTGCATTCCCCCGGGCTATCTTGGGCGGGTCCATCTGTGGTGCATGCGAGTCTGAAAGGAGCAGGACTTGACCTGTCTCCTCCTTTATTCATACTTGGCCTGGGACAAGTCCTCCAACATTTGCTCATAACAGAATGAGTGCAAGTAAAATCAAAAGAAGGCACGTGGTTCCAAGCAGAAAGCCCACGAGTGGGGCACCGGGGGTGAGGGCGGAAACCCTGGCTTCTCTTCCTTGTTCTGCCCCCTGACTAGGTGACCTTACTTGTTCATTTATTCCTCCAGCCAACAATTATTTATTGAACACTTAACTCTGCTCTAGGCACTGGGGATACAATAGGATATAAAAAGTTAGACAGCATTACCAGCTCCTGGGGGCAATGGTCAGTCTAAGGCAGAAGCCAAGCTGACAGTCAGCCAATTGCGGCACAGAATGCTAAAGGCCCAGATGGGGGTGCACAGGTACTGTGGGTGCCAGGCCAGGGCAGGGAAGACTTCTAGGACAAGGGACATCTCACACATCCCTCACATCCACTGAGGGATAAGTGGGAACTAGGCTGGAGAAAGATTAAACAAGGAAAGGCAATTCCAGGTAGAAAAATGAATTTGGAAAGATCTAGAAGAAAGTTTATATTTGAGGAAAAGTAAGAAGTTGGATATGCTAGAGTATAAAGTGTAAAGGATGATGGGGGAGAGACAAGAAATGAGTCTAGAGTGAGAAGGCCAGAACATGACCTTGGGACATCAGATCTCCTATTTGGTTTCATTTCTTCATTGATTGAAGAAGGCAACAGCAACCTACTCCAGTATTCTTGCCTTGAGAATCCCATGGAAGAGGAGCCTGGCCGGCTATAGTCCGTGGGGTCACAAAGAGTCAGACTCGACTGAGCAACTAACACACTTCATTCATAAGATATTGGGCCATCCAGCACTAAGCGAGATCACAGAAGAGAAATTGCTGACAGTTGCAACACTCTAGAGAGACGGGCAGGAGAGCAGCAAGGACAGTGTCCTAACTTAGAAAAAGATCATGATAATTAAAGACCCATGCGTCCATTGGGAGTAGAATCCACAGGCTGTGAGATTGGATGTGAGGGGGTCGGGGCGGGTGGTGGGCAGGAAGGGAGCAAGAGCAACATGCTGGTTTCTAACCTGTAGGCTGGGGCAGCTGGGGATGCCATGTTGGCGGGGGGCTGGGGGTGTGCAGCAAGCTTGTGGGGCAGTGATATTTGTGGACAGTGGAGCCTCCGGGACATCCCAGAGGCAATACACAGTCAACAATTGCATGAACAGGCCTGAAGTTGAAGACAGAGGTCCAGGCCAGACAGATATACAGCTAACAGCACGTAGAGGTGGTTGAAAGCCCAGGCAGCTGAAACATCCCAGGGGGAGGGTATACGGAGTGAGAAACAGTAGAAGGATGTGCCCAGGGAGACCTGGGGTCTCCCCCGCACTGTACACTGAGTGGGCAGAGCTCAGCAGGGAGTCCGGACAGACTGGGCCGGGGTTCCTGAAGGGTATGTTACACTTCCTGAGGAGCTGACCTCATTCTCATCTGCTGTGACCCTAGAAAAAACAGACAGGACATCCAGATCCTGAAGGATGGGAAATGCTGACCCCGCCAGAGCCTCTTAAGCCGTGAAGCTTCAGGCTAGAGAACCGTGGTGGGCGTGCAGGATGAGACATGAAATAAAGATTCAGCTCAACCCAGCCAATGGCTCTGTGTTTTGGGGGATTCTGAGGAGGCGGATTCTGGGGAAGCGGATTCCGGAGGATGGGGGAATTTGGCCCTGTCTTCCCTACTCTGAATCTGATGTCCTCTCCATCACTCTGATGCTCCTCAACCTTGTCACATGTTCCCCTGGAAGTCCTAGGTATCTTCTGCCTTCTTGAGGGGGTCAGGACTGTGTACAAGTGCTCAGTGTTGGCCTGTCACTGAGGTCAAGAACCTAACTGAAGTCTGTACTCTCTGTCACTGCAAGGCCCAGCCTCAGCCTTTGAGAGGCTCCCATACCCCTCACAGCTTTCTCCCTGGGCTATACCAGCACCCCAAATCTCACTCACACACATACATACAGACCCACACACACATCAACACTACCATGGCTGACATTCGGGTGGTGTTCACCATACATCTGACTGCTTATTACAGTATTGATCTAGGTCTATAATTGATGACAACAGGTGCTTCCCAAGCCCTGGAGTGTCCCCCTGCTCCCTGACCACCCACAGCAAGAGGACTTCCAGACCTTGCTCTGCTCTCTTGGTCAACACCCACTGACTGGTTGTTAAATGTGTTAACACTGGACACACGCACACAGGCCTCACAGGGACATGCAGCTTTCGGGAATCCACCGGAGACAGAGATCCCAGCCTGTGGGACATGTCAGGTACCCCAACTCTCCTGGCCAAAGCTTATAGGAGGAGTCTCTGGTAGAGGTGGGGGTGGTGGAAGAAGGGTCGAAAGGGGCTTGGTCAGGCAGGAATAGCATCACACAGACCCTGATTCCTGCTCTAGGGTAGGCAGCAAGAGCAGGAAACGCTCAGTGGGAAAATCCACACTGCGAGGAGAGTGGGGGCAAGGAAGATGGGACCCATCAATCCCTGGACTGCTAAAACGGGAAACTAGGCAGGAATTAATGACAGGTCTGCAGGGGCAGGGGCCAGGAGGCCATCTGTAAGGTCCTTCTACTGCTGGTAACAAACTCGTTTCCTACCTGCATAGGGATGGTATAGGATGAAGTTTGGCTGCGACAGACCAAAAAGCCAAAATAACAGTGGTTTCAACAGAGAGAAGTTTTCTCTCATACACAGATCTACGGAGTATGCTGATTTCATGTTGCTTGTATACTGTTACTCTGCCATCCATATCAGTTCCCACCCCAATGTCCAAATAGCTCCTTCAATTCTAGTTGTCATGTCTACACACAGGCTGGAGAGCTGGGGAAGGGCACTCTGTGCCTCTGACAATGCTTTCCATAAGATGCACGCTGGGGACTTCCCTGGTGGTCCAGTGGTTAAGACTCCACACTTCCAAAGCAGGCAGAGCAGGTTTGACCCCTAGTTGGCAAAATAAGATCCTGTCAAGTGGCGCAGCCAAAAGATTATTAAAAAAAGAAAAAAAAAGCGCACACTGTCTACAACCCACTGGGTAAAGTGTACCCTCTTGGCCATACTAGTGCAAAAAGACTGGGAAATACTATTTTCTCTGGTTGGCCATGTGCTAAGCTGAAAATTAGTTCCCTCAGTGTAGGAAGAGAGTGGATACTGTAAGTCTCTACCCTAAGTGACATGTAAGTCCCTACCCTAAGTGGGAAGCCCCTCTTACACCCAGGCAGTGGATCTCAGCCAAGCTTCTCCCTAGTGACGCTCTCCTCCCCAGGTATCCACTCACAGGATGAGGAATCAGAGGTTAAGCCGTGTGCCAGGGCGCCACCCAGAAAGACTTAACTCCCCGCTCTACGGGTGTGGAAACTGTGGGCCCGTCTCCAGGAATCACGCTGCAACCCAAGTGTGTACCCCTAAAGGCCTGTTTGCAGCACATGACCCTGCTGCCCTGGCCACTGCTCACTGGCCAGACGATTCTTCTCCAGGTTTTTTAAGTCAGAAATCAGGGAACAGAGGCAGTTCCTCTCTGGTAGTGAAGTTGTAAAATATGCCAAGTGGGGACTGCTGGCAGCTATGTTTCCTACTTTGTGGGAGAAGCAGGACTGAATGAATGATGCTGACGTGCAGAGAGATACAGACAGGGATTCCAGGCAGCATTTGTATTCCTGAAGTGCAACTGCCCTTGAATTTTCCTAAGTTACACGAGATAACATCCTACCAACAAATTTTCTATTTCGACAATCTCTTTGGAAGAGGTTTCTGGTATTTTCAACTAGGGCTTCCCTGGTGGCTCAGTCAAGAATCCACCCGCCAATGCCAGAGACCCATGTTCGAGGCTGGGTCGGGAAGATCCCCTGGAGAGGGAAATGGCAATCCACTTCAGTATTCCCTGATAGCTCAGTTGGTAAAGAACCCGCCTGCAATGCAGGAGACGCTGGTTAGATTCCTAAGTTGGGAAGATCTGGAGAAGGGAAAGACTACTCATTCTAGTATTCTGTCCTAGAGAATTCCATGGACTATACAGTCCATGGGGTCGCAAAGAGTCGGACACAACTGAGTGACTAAACACCAGTTTTCAACTGAAAGAGCCCTGACACCAGAGGAAGAGCTTCTCACAGGGACTCACAGCCTTTAAGCTGTGCCTTGAAGGACGAGTAGAAATAACTGGCTGAACAATGTACGGGAGAATCCTTCCAGCCCTGTGAGGCTGAACGATGTCTGTGGGATCACAGAGCCACGTGTTTCCCTGCAGCAGAATTGATCATGTCCTGGGGAAATGGGCAACTGATAAGTACTCTCCCTGGGCAGAGATGCCCTGCAGATGTGCAGCTCTATGTGAGTGGGCCATGTCACTACCCTGCATATCAGCTGGGCAGCTCATCCTCAAAGAATACAAGGGCTATCGGATGCTGTAAATCCCTGTGCTGACGGAGCCTCAGTGGGCGAGTGCAGCAGTGGAAATTTCACTGTTAATACGTGTGGTCAACGTTCATTCAGTCTCCAAATATTTATTGAGCACCTGCTATAAGCCGAACAATGTGCTTCAAATACACTGTTAACAAAACAAAGAAGTTCCTTAATCCAAGGAACTAGTGTTGAAAGGCAAATATTAATCAAATAACCCCACAGATAAATCATCATAGACCATGATAAATGCTGTTTATCATAAAAATAGCCACAAGCTGTGAGAGGACATCCCCTGGGGGCTTGACAGTCTCAGACTGTCAGGAACATCAGTAGGTGAGGTTCTCTATGGAAGAGAGATTTACATTCTGCAGGATAACAGCAGTCGCCTAGGACGGAGGCAGGCGTAGGGGAACGATGGTGGGGAAATGTCCCAGCAGAAGAAGAGTGTGTGCGGAGATCCCACAGTGAGAGAGGGCTCAGAGCACCCGAGGACCTGAACTAGCCCAGAGGGGCTGATGGCAGAGTAAACAGGAGAGCGGGTCAAGATGAAAAGGGTAAGGACCTTGGCCTTTATCCTAAGAAAACGGGGGTCACTGAGATTTTTAAGCACGGGACTGACATGACGAGATCATAATCATGATCGCTCAGCCGCTCCATGGAGAATGAATGGAGAGGACCAGAGAGGAAGTACACAGACCAACACAGGAGATAAATAGGAAAAGAGAAAGTGAGAAGGTGTGAGCAGCCCCATGTCAGCGGGGATGAAAATCAGTAGAGATGAAGAACACTGGCTTGGAATCAAGCCGCCTAGTTTGTGTCCTGGCTTTGTCACTTACTCTATGATCCTGAGCAAATCACCTAAGCTCATCTCTAAAACAGGGAGAGTATCTGTCTACTTCCTGGACTATGTGAGGATTAAATGACTAACGAACTTAGAATGGTATCTGGCACACAGGAACTTGGTGTGGCCCAAGACCACACAGCTACTGCACATAAACAGGTCAACACTGAACTACTCTGGTTACAGTTGGGGGTGGGCCAGTGGGACCCTGAGCCTCGTCCACATGCTCCCACTTTGTCCTCGGCCCCACCCACATAGCCCTAAATTCCTGGGGTTTCACTGACGCCCTCTCTGCCAGATAAGATTGGCCTCAGAGTGGCCTTTAGGAATTTTTCTCCTGGGCACTGTGTGAAAAATGGGGGTAACATCAGCTGACCCATTTAAGAGGCCACTGAAGTATGTAGACCACTCCTGACTTCTGGACTAGAATCTCAGAAGGCTTCTGTTTCTCATACTTCATCTACCAAAAAGAAAAAAATGTTTAAACACTCTTTTGGGATTTCCCCGGTGGACTAGTGGTTACAACTCCATGCAGGAGCATGGGTTAGATCCCTGGTCAGGAACTAAGTCCCACATGCTGTATGGCAAGTCAAAAAAAAATAAAGTTTTAATACTCTTCTGCTTGCTGATATGTATATAAACTGCTTTATTTTTTAAATAACAAATGAAGGGGGAAAGGACCACAAAACAGACAGAAACAACCTCAAAGTAACTTGAAGAAAATGTAGATCTCAGAAGGGGATGGCTCACAACACCACCTCTGAAGGAACTCCTAAGAGGTTTATGGTTGCCCTTCACTACCTGCCTGGTGTATTCACTCTGGCCCTCCTCACTGCCCCTTGTAAGCCAGGGTTCTGACCTGGTTTCAAGCAGAGACTTAGTCAACTCTGGGTTCTAACCTTCTAGAGATTTGCTTGGGAGCAAGGCAGTCCATATATCAACCACAGGCCCAACTCCAGGAATGAACCAGAGATCTCATGACCTATGGCTAATCAGGGTCACTGTGAGCTGAGGACAGGGTCATGAACCCACAACCGGCCGGCTGTTTCAGAATCAGGTCACATGAGAGACACTCGGGCTATCTGTTCTGACCCATTCCCGACTGTCCTCACCAGACAAGGGCTCCTGGTGATTCTGGTTTACACAGCCAGGTTTATGGGATCATAAGCACAAAAAGGCCTCATGGATCTGAAGACCAAAATGGCCGATAAACTCAGAACTACCTCAGGATACATAAGAGCTCTCACCAGCCCAAAGAAAGCACCCAAAGGTCCAAACAGCTGGGAAGACTTGGTCAGGGGGGCACTCTCCAGGCAAGGTGGGCTGCTAGACAGCACAGATCCACAGAGACAGAACAAGAAGCTGACAGGAGGCTAAAGACTGTACAGACGATACTTGTTCATTGAGAGCAGGTGTGAGAGAAGGAAAAGGCAATGGGCCAGTTGCCCCCAGCAGCTCTGGGGAAGGCGGGTAACTTCTGCTCCAGAGATGGCAGAGCTGGTAGGGCTGTTCTTCACTGCAGCACGGCCTTCTCTGCCTCACCTCAGTCAGCGAGGGCCAAGTTCGTGGACTGCAGTCGCTCCGTCTCCTGGCAGATGTTCTGCTCCACTGTGTCACACTCAGCTAGGAAGGCCTAAAAGATAAATGCAGACTAGTGAGGGCCACTGGAGGCCAGACAACCCATGCCAACCTTAGCCACAAGAGGTTCTTTGCCAAGCCATTCTGGGGAACCCCTGGGTGACTGACTCAGGCTAAACGGGTGTGTGGGGATGGAGACAGCCCAGGCCCCAGACTCAGGAGAGGGAAGTGACAGCGCTCTCAGTTAACAACCTCCAAAAGGCGCTGAGGAGAGGAAGCCCTGCCACTGAAATGGAAGGATTTCAGGGGACCCTGTCCACAGGAATGGCACCTCCTAGAACTGCGTAACGTGTCAGCCCTGTCTGCTCCCCAGCAAACTTCTTTCCCGATCAGTTTAATCCAAATTCAATTACAGGGACATGAAAGGAGCTCGTGTTCTGGGTTCATACTGATAGTAACAACTGAAGAGAGTCCCCACCACACATGTACTCTACCCTGCTTTGAAGAGATACATGCGCTGACGCATGACACTTTGTGATGCCCTACCACACAACTCACCTGAATCCTTTTCACCAAACCTTTCCTTTTCATTCTACTGTCTTTGAAATTTTCTGGCAGAATCTACGGAAGAATAAGTTGACATATAAATAATCCTAGTAAGTGAACATGACATAGGAACACGTCAGAAACACCCATAGCACATCAAGCAGGCCACAGGTCACCAATGTGGGTGACGGGCATTTTCCGGAATCACTTCCCTGGATCTCTGTCCTGCACATCCCTTTTCATGGCTCTCACTCCATAAACACTACTTAGTCCTCGAGGTCTGGACCATAGACCTGTAGCATGGATTTTGTCCTTTCACCGTTTCCTGTGAATGGATACTGTGTCCTGGCTGGGCCACGAGCTCCCTGTGGCATGAGAAGCATAATGCTTTTCTGCTCTTCTTTACCACCCCCTACACCACCGCCCCTCAAGAATCCCAAGCAGAGTAGTTCACCCTAAGAATGAGGTATCGGGCGAGAGATATTATCTAAAAGGGAACATGGCATCAGTGATTCCTAACAGCCTCCCAGGAGCTGGGTCTGACTGTATTCTGTACAGGTAATGGGCCCAGACACAAGAGTGTCAGGAAAGTGACACCCTGTATTTCTCTGACCTTGAGACCATGGATCACTTCGGTCCCTGCTTTGTGAGGATTAGATGCTACTGTATGTGTGTGCTCAGTCATGCCCAACTCTCTGTGTGCAACCCCATGGACTGTAGTCTACCAGGCTCCTCAGTCCTTGGGATTTTCCAGGTAAGAATACTGGCGTGGCTCACCATTTCCTATTCCAGGGTATCTTCCCAACCCAGGAAGAGAAAACTTGTCTCCTGCATTGGCAAGCAGATGCTTTATCACTGCGCCCCCTGGGACACCCTCTTAGGAGCTACTAGTACACATAAACAAAAATGACAAAAGCCCCATGTCCATGAGATAGGGGAAATCAGGAACTGTCTTATCTTTCTGCATATTCACCAAAGACCTAGCAGTGTCTGGTACACTGCTCAATAGGTGCCCAATACCCTCAGGCAATGAGTGTGATACTGAGAAAGTGAAACTAACCGAAAAGCCATCAGAGGAAACGAGTCCTTCTCGGCTGAGCGTTTACTTACTAGTGTGTCAATCTCCTCCAAGATCTTCATAAACTGCTCGATCATGGCTTTTACTCTCCTATCGAGTTTGCAGAGAGCTTCAGCTTGCAAATCCTTGGCCAGAAAACCCTGTGGAGGAATGACGCATTATTCCAAGTGTTTCTTTGAGGCTGACAGAAAACTCCAAGCCAGGCACTGATGAAGCAGCTTCACCCTGGGTCCACGTTCCCCAGCAGGCTGGGCCAAACTGCAGGCCCACAACTCCACCTCTTGGAAAAACAGAAGAGCCAGCCCTGGGCCTCCTCAAGCACTGTAATAGGCTGCAGGCCCCTCCTTCTCACATGGCCTACTGGGGCCACAAATGCCTCCAGAGGCCTGGCTCTGCTGAAGCCCCCAGTCCCCAGTGAGTACCTGCACATCAGAGGCAGATGTGAAGAGCACAGGGTTTAGAGTTTGACAGGCCTGGGCTTCAATACTGACTGCTAGCTACTGGCTGGTGAGCTTGAGCAGGTTCCTTAACCTGTCTGTGCCTTGCTGTCCTCATTTTTTAAATGGAGATCAAGGCATTTCCTTGGCAGTCCAGTAGTTCAGTCCAGAAGATTCCATGTCCAGAAGGCAGTCCAGAAGATTCCGTGCTTCTGTGCAGTGGGCACGGGTTCCACCCCCCACTGGGGAATAAGATCCCACATGCTGAGCAGGCTGGCCAAATTAAATGAATAAAATAATACAATGGAAGACTTCCCTGGCAGTCCAATGATTAAGAATCTGCCTTGGGGAAGGAAAACAAAAAGACTCCACCTTGGGCTTCCCCACTGGCTCAGTGGTGAAGAATCCACCTGCCAATGCAGGAGACACAGGTTTGATCCCTCATCCCAGAAGATCACACATGCCAGGAAGCAACAAAGCCCAGGTGCCACAACTATTGAGACTGTGCTCTAGAGCTCGGGAGCCACAACTGCTGAGCTCACATGCTGCAACTACTGAAGCCTGCGCTCCCTAGAGCCTGTGCTCTGCAACAGGAGAAGCCCGAGTACCGCAGCAAGAGAGCAGCCTCCACTCGCCCAACTAGAGAAAAGCCCACACGCCAACAAAGACCCAGCACAGACAAAAATAAATACATAAACAACACTGTATATATATAAGAAAAGAATCCGCCTTGCAATGCAACAGACGAGGATTCAACTCCTGGTCAGGGAACTAAGATCCCATGTGCCACTGGGCAGTGAAGCCCATTTGCTGTAACTACTGAGCCTCTGTACTCCAATTAGAGAGTCCGTACGCCCCAATAATAGATCCCACACGATACAATGAGGATCCTGCATGAGGCAACTAAGACCCAAATAAACAAGCAGCCAAATAAACAAAGGCAAAAAGAAAAAAACAAAAAAAATAAAATAAAATGGAGACCATGACACACACATCCCAGAGGGTTACCATGAGAATAAAGGAAAATACAAGACCTTTAATATGAGTCCTGACACAGACATATTGCTAACAGATGGCACCACTTACTTAATTGTTTTATTAAATCATCTGTTTATTCACGTTACTTGGCCTAATGATCAGTTAGCTAGTGACAACAGGTGAACAGCAGGGATCTCTGAGGATGTTTTTATTAAAGTCAAAAGCTACAGATGAAGATTTCGCAACAAGTAATAAAATAAGCCATCAATTCCAACTGAAAGAATTACTCTACCAAGAAAATGAGAAATGGCCAAAAAAGATTTAAGCCCAAGGACATTAAAAGAAGCATTATGCATAATGTTAAATAGCATTAGGTGATAAATAATAAAGAATTGGTTAGGTAAACTATGATCCACTCATGTGATGCATATTAACGCGAGTTTTGAAAAGGATGATCTTTTTTTTTTCCAGTCAAGACATTTTTTCTTTATTGAAGTATAGTTGATTTACAATACTGTGTTAGTTTCAGGTATACTAAGTATGATCATTTTTAATGACATGGGAAAGTGTTCAATTCCTTAAACCAAAGAAAGAACTATCTACAAAGTATACCTAACATTATACCAATTTTTTTAAGATAAAAAAACAGATTCCAGGTTTTAGTAATGGTTATCTTTGAGTTGGGGGTCTTACAGGTAATTATTATTTTTCATATTGGTGCACACATGTCTTCTTAAAAATTGTGTGCAATCAGTATGCAGTACTTTAGTAATTAAAACACAATCATACATCCATTAATGTTATAAAATGAAGAGATCAAAAATAAATACGTGGTTTGAGGCCATAACTAATTCTAATTTGGTTTTGATCCTCCACATCTAGTACTACAAGGAATTGAATAGGATGACCCCTCGCCAATATCATGCTCAACTTGGACATTCTATGAATCAGTGTTCTTTGCCTTGCCAAATACATTATAACTGCCTAGACTGAGAGAAGCTATTTATTCTATTTAAGACAACACATGATCCTAGCATGGCAGGTGTTCTCGGAGGATCACAAATGGATGCTGGCTGGGGTTTGTAAATAACAATGATGTGCTTACAAAGCACTTAGAATGTCTCAGCCTTAAACTATGTAATTGAATCCTCACAACAGCCCAAGAGGGAGTTGCCATCATCACTCCCTTTTTTATAGAAGACTTGAGACAAAGGCAAACTTGCCCAGTTACAGAATGGGAAGAGTCAGGGTCTGAACCCAGGGGGGACCAAATACAAAGTTTGCCCTCATAACCACACATTTGTGTCTCTAGAGAATTTTTAGAGAAGGCAGAAAGTCAAGTCTACCAGAAGAGTTACCTGCTGGATTCCAGCAAGGTCTTTATTCAGCTCTTCCAGCTGGTCAGCTATCTTCTCCACAGATTTCTCCAAATCTTTCAGCTTCTTTAGCTCAGCTTCTTCCTCCGGACTGTTCTAAAATGTTAAGAATAAAAGGAATTCAATAATCACCAAAAATAGTAGCTTCTGTCAGAAAGAAAAAATCTGACCACAAGTGGTCAAACCACTCCCCTAGGAAAACATCATCTTAAACTTGCTGCTTCTTGGAAAGCAAGCTGGAGGGTTATACACTAAGGTTTTCTATCTACAAAGGCATTAGATGAGATAGAGAGAAGGTACCAGGTACATGTTCTGGTGAGAGAGCTGGACGGTTTGGGTTCAGAGAACAAAGCTGATTCATGAGCCAGATCTGACCTTAGCCTGGGGCTGACCACCAACTCACTCCAGACTGAAGCCTGGAGTGTTAACTAATTACAGTGAACACCTAGAATATGAGTCCAGAAGGTGAGACAGGCGGAATTCTATCCTTTCCTTAGATGGAATTCCTGAGCTCTCTCATTCAATATGACTATGATGACGATGCATACTTTCATTGAGCATCCCTTCTATGCTAGGCATCATCCTAAGCACTCTACCTGTATCATTATTTAAGCCTTACCACAATCCAATGATGAAATTGAGGTAACTGGAAAGTAACCTTAGGTCACACAGCCCAGAAGAGGTAAAGCTGAGACCTGAATGGGATTTGGCTTCTCACACCCCAGGACAATTCCAGTTGAGGGTCCTAAAGTTTCTTCAAGCTCAACCCTTGGGTTGTGCTCATTTTTCCATCACCGTTCTTCCTGACCCTTGAGTAAGAAGTCTTGACCATTTCCCCTTCTCTCAACTTCGTTGGTAGCTAGCAGCTTCCCGCTTTTACACTGTCTCCCACTGTTCTTGGTGGCCAAATCCTGAGTGCCAGTCTCCTGGCGGTCTCCAGTCTCCAGTCCAAGTCTGCAGGAGACTTTTCTTGCCTCCACCTTGCTAACCTCTGCCCTCTCTCCACTCTTGAATCAGCCACACCCAGCTCGAAGTAAGGGAACTTCATTTGACCAACAACTCCACTGTGTCACAATGCATGGCTGGCCCCAGGGTCTACTGACCTCAACCCTTTTTGTCACCAACTGACTCTTTTACTCCCCTACTTCTAGCCTGAACCTTTCTTTCCAGCCAAAGAGGGTTTAACCTCACGGGAGAGTTTAGTAAAAAGAACAGTTAAAGGAAGAGAGGCTCCTGAAATTTTCAGAGTACTTATTTTTAAAATTGACAGGTTTGACAGTCTCTTGCAAATTCCCCTCCAAGTGAGTAGCGACTGCTTCAGACATCATTTTATCCAGACTGAAATTCCACCACCAGCACAAAACTCACATAATTGAGGCAGTACAACCACTCCTAATTCCCAGGGTGAAAACCCTAATGAACAGAAGCTGAAGGATGTGAGAACAATAAAACTGATAAATCCACTAAACAAATAGCAACTACATTTGTGTGGCAAGCACTACTTCACCAGTGCCAAACCTGAGCCCCCAATTTGGCCTTCTAAACAGACACTCATGTAAAAGACCTTAGTCATTTGGCTCTGAGGTATTTCTGGTAGAAAAAGCAGTTTACCTTTTTCCCAATTAACATAACCCGGCAACCATTTTGTATTCCAAGTGCTGACAATGGCATCTCCATTTCCTTCAGAGATTTTCCTGAAAAAAGAAGACAGTTATGTCAAATGTAACTTGTACAACAGTGAAAATAGATTTCAGCAAGGGTATAGGAAATAGTGTGTTCACTATTGAGAAGGGAATGAGTTGGTATAACATTTTTAGAAGGTTTCTTGACCCAATAACTTCACTTCAGATATTGATCCTAACAAATAACTGGACATGTGCCTAAACAATAACTGTTACACAATTATTATTATTCATAACAGTGAGAAACTGGAAAGTCAAAAATTCAGGAGTAGGGGACTGATTACTATACATCATAACAGAAGACTTTGTAGCACTAAAGCTCATCTTTCAGGAAACTTCAGTGCCACAATATGTGTTGATGACCAAGTGTTACAAGAAGATCACTAGAAATGATCCTAGTTTTGTCAACTACAGAAACAAAAAAAAAGCCACAAATTGAGAACCCACACTTCAAGATGCCAGGACAAACAAACAAAGGCTGGACAGAAATATACTGAATTGTTATCAGGGGTTTTATCCAGGAGAACATTTTCTTTTTTGTGTTTTCCTCTATTTACAAACATGAATTTCTATTGCCTTTATAATTATAAAATGAAATGTTTTTAAAGAGAAAAGACAAGGAGTTACAATATGAAGTATAAAAGTAAATGCTTCCCATCACTAAATTCTTTATGATTGGCACCAAATGGGATAAATTTAGCTTCATCAGATACAAAATAATGGGTTCCCATGGGAATGAGAAGACCAGAGAATGGGGATGGGAGTAGGTGTGTCCTGGCAGAAATCACCATATTCCACTGGGCCTGCTACATCCATGTCCCTTAAATTAGTCTGTTCAGCACCTTCTCTGTGTCAGCACTAGGCCAAGCACTGAAAACACAGAAGTATCTCTGCCCTCATGGAGTCTGCTATTGTATCAGAGACACCAGATGTTTGGTGACTATGGAAACAATTATTTAATAGTAGTTTCAATACAAGCTATGCAGAAGTGGAGGGAGTGCTACAAGAACATACACTGGGAAGAGGATCTAACTTAGCCAGGGAAGACTGCCCATGTGTCTCATCAAAAATGGTAAGGTTTCTGCCACCCTCATGTGCCTCCAACTCGAATACCTGTGCATGTGTTTGCAAGTGTCCACTACATAGTAGGTACTCAACAAATATTTGTTGAAGGAAAATGACGGAATTAACAAGCAAAGAACTGTCCTAGATTGAAAAACTAACCTTACTCTTAGGTAAGGTTAAATAGTTTTAAATAGGCTCAGAGCTGGAAGAGAAAAGCTTACCCTTAAATATGAGTTTCTGAAAGGGCAGCGGAACCCCTGTAGCCTCTTCAACAACCTGGGCCAGGTCTTGGACAATTGGCTCACTATTGCCTTCTTGTGGGGTAACTTGAAGATCATGCTTCTCATTGCCTGGGGAGAGAGAATAGTGTTGAAGAAAACACAAACCAATATATAGAGGCTGACACTTCATTTTCCCAGCCTTTAAGACCTGCTCAAGGATTTTTGTTTCCTTGGGAATTGTTACAGGAACTAACAATATCAGTGATATCAGCTAACATTTTATGCATTTAGCATGTGTAAGGGGCTAACTAGGCTTATTTTGGAGAAGGAAATGGCAACCCACTCCAGTATTCTTGCCTAGAGAATCCTGTGGACAGAGGAACCTGGTGGGCCACTGTCCATAGGGTCACACAGAGTCAGACATGACTGAAGCAACTTAGCGTGCATGCATGCATTGGAGAAGGGAATGGCAACCCACTCCAGTATTCTTGCCTGGAGAATCTCAGGGACAGAGGAGCCTGGTGGGCTGCTGTCTAAGGGGTCACACAGAGTAGGACATGACTGAAGGGATTTAGCAGCAGCAGCAGGCTTATTTTATGCATAATCTTAATTAATCCTCAGAACAACCCCATGAAGTACCCATGAAGCCAGTACTACCTATTACTCCCCATTTCACAGATAAGCAAGATATGAGATCAGTCCAGTTAAGACTTGCCTAGTGAGACCCATCTCTACAATCAGAACTTAACCTCAGATCTATCTGATTTCAAATTCTGTGCTTTTCTTTACAAGCCATCTGCCTCCTCTGGCCTGACTGGCCTCTCCTCTGTATTGTACTGGGCAAGGAACTGTTTCTATCTCCTTTGCTATAATGAGCAAGGAACTGCTTTTCTTCCAGGTCTCTCCCACTGGACACATAGGGTTGGTGCCCAGAAAATAAATGAGGGACTTTCCTGGTGGTGCTGCGGATAAGAATCTGCCTGCCAAGGCAGGGGACACAGGTTCAATCCCTGGTCCTGGATGATTCCACATGCCAGGGAGCAACAAAGCCCATGTGTCACAACTACTGATGCCCACATGCCTAGAGCCACCCCAATGAGAAGCCCGCACATCTCAAGGAAGAGTAGCCCCCGCACGCTGCAACTAGAAGTCCGAGCAAAGCAACAAAGACCCAGTGGAGCCAATAAAGAAAAAATGAGTGAAAAAACTCAAACAGCAGAAATTTCTTTTTGGAGCAGAGGTGCCAATTCTTTTCTGGATATGTGGACAGCAAGGGCACAGCCTGTGTCCAGTGCATCACGCCAAGCCTTAAGCCTACTCAACAGCCACATGAAGTCAGCGGGACAGGTGTTACCAATTCTATTTCGCATAGAAGAAACCAGCTGCCTAGAAAGGAGACATCCCAAGGTCACCGAAACCTGCAGAATCCTGGTCTCCAGATTCTTGAGGCCCTGGGGTCTCCCCTCGTTGGTCCTGAGGAAACTTTATGGACTCAGCTCCCTGGAGAACCGTCATTGTCTAGTTCTGTGTCAACTCCAACAGTAGGCAGACCCCAAGGGCGCCCTGAGTGTACGCTTGAACCCACGCCTCACTCAAACAGCACACATGAGTTTTGACTCCTGCACACCAAGTAGGTGTCCAGATACACAGCAGTCATAGACAACATGGCCAAATACAAGCCAGGCACAAGGGCCCACCACAACTGTGCAGGCACACACTAAGACATACAACCAGGACCCCGACGTGAAGCACAGACATCAAGGATCTAACAAACGGCCTGAGACAAAATACACCTGCCACGTGGAAAGGTGCGCTGACAGCAGACCAGTAAAAACAAGATCCCACGCTTCTGGACTCCAAATACAAGGACACACACTTCGGGAGGGCACGCGACCAAACCCAGAGANGCTCCAGCCCGGCTCAATTCCTCTGAAGCCGCCCCCTACCCCACCCACTCAGCCGAGGCCCCGCCTGGCTTATCTGGGGCCACGCCCACGCCCGCCGCCGGGGCCACGCCCCGTGATGACTCTCGGTCCCTCCCCTCCAACTTCCCGGAGCTCCCCTTCCCCGGAAGATCAGGCTGAAAATCCGGATAAAGGATTGGGAAACGCCAATAGGCACATTGCGCTTGCGCATGGGGGGCCGGAAGTCAAGTCGGAGACGGAGGTGACTCTGCTTCCGTTTCTGGTTTTGCTCCAGTGTTTAGGTTTTATCAGCGGCCGCCCAAGATGAACCGATTCTTCGGGAAAGCGAAACCCAAGGCTCCGCCGCCCAGCTTGACTGACTGCATTGGCACGGTGGGCACTTAGACTTGCTGACTAGGCTCAGGAACCCTGACACCCCTTAACCCGTCCACCCCCGACTTCGGCGTCTACTCCTGGCTCCCGGGCCCATTACACCTTAGCTCTCTCCACCACTTTCGTTCCTCTTACCCAAGTCATTGCTGACGCCACAAACCGGGGACCCCTAACCCACCATTGTTTAACCCTACTTGCGCCCCACCCCCTCTGGCGCTCGGTGCTGCGTCCACTCGCTGTTAACTGCCCTGGGCACCCCGACCAGCCATAGGCCCTGACACGCTTCCCACCTCATCCAGCCCTACCCCTTCCTCCTCTTCCGTCCCTCATCCTTCTCCGACGTCAGGAATCTTGGCTTGATATCCTAGCTCAGTATATCTGTAACCCAATCCTGGATCTGTTACACAAAATTCAGAACTCTAGCTCCTGTCACTAGGCCACCACCTTCTATCCAAGTGAACAGCGTTAGCTCTCCAGCCCTAGCCGGGGTCCATTGGGCAGTAACTCTTTTCACACACTTTCTGGTTGAACCCGCTGCTGGCCTAGTCTCCAATTCTTGGGAAACTTCGACTCAGTCGAGTGATTCTCAAATTCTTTTTCTGCTCAAACACTTGAGGATGCCCCTAGAATATTGGAATCTAGGGGGGTGGAATACAGTTTAACACCCCCCCCCCCCCCCC